ATTAGGTCTCATACCCCAGGAGAATCTTGGATGCCCTTCTGTCAACAGAATTCCCAATTTAGTGACACCTCAGACTGAAAAGAGCTCTCCGGCAAACGGGGGTGAAAGTTTAAGAGGGAATAAGCATATAATAGTCCCTTGCCAGACCTCACACATGCTGAAGGGAATAGTTACAGCAAACTGGCCAAAGTAAACGACCCCGCCTACCCACCATCCTTTCCCCTCCTCTCCGCCTTTTTTGTAAACTCCAGATAAACACCATTTGATCACAAAAGGGTCGGTTTGTCCCCTTTACAGTTTGAGTCCTTTTACAGGCAGTTCGGCAGGGAAAAGTGGCAATGGGCTAGGTTTCCGTCTCAGGCAGGGCCAGCTTTGTTGCTGGCACTGTGGCCTGGGCTAAGGACAGTTAATTTGGTTTTGTTCCCCCTACCCCTATCCCGACCCCCCACCTCCACCTAGGAACCTTATTTTCAGGACCCTCCCCCACCCACCTTTAACACTCGCCTTTACGCACTCTCACTACTTTAAATACTGCAGGCATTGCAGATAGAAAGCTTTCTCAACTAATTTACTTGTTTAATTACAGGGCCACAATGACGTGAAAACTCTTTTTGCGAAAACGTGTAGGAATATTTCAGAGACACCAGAAATTCTCCGGGTCTTTTCTGACCCGGAATCTGCCCTCTTTCTCCCTTCTCCTGCCCTGAAGGCACCTTATTCTCGGATTCTGTTGAAGGGCAGGCTCTTTCAACGTCTCCAGTCTGTCTTTTGTTGAGTATGAGACCGAAGGAAAGAGGATCCAAGGGTCTGCAGAGAGGAAAAGACCGCGGAGAGCCAGCAGCTGGCGCCGAAGGCCGGGGCCCAGGGCGCCCTGGCCTCGTGGGTCCTCCCGGAGGCCAGGCCCGGCACAAGCCTTAGGAACACGCTGGCCAATGTTTAACCCGAATGCTGTGGCCACCAGGCCGCTTTTGTTTGTTCGCAAATTAATCACCCAGCGCACGGCCGGCGCCAGAGTGGGTTTATCACCCACCGGGAGGGGGGCGCGGTGGGCACGCAGAGACAAAGAGGAGTTCGCACCTTCCCGCTTTTGATCCCAGAATTACGGCGGCCTCCCTGCCTAATACGAGCCTCCTGGGGCCGAGTCTGGGAGGTCAGTCATAATTGGCGGAAGTTTGCAGACCATTAGCAAGATGTCGACATTCCCGATTCAGAACCCCGCAAACTTTCCTCTCGTTCTCTCCTTCTTGCGCTGGAGATGGGGGTGGGGGAGGAGGTGGTGGGGGTCAGAAGTAGCGATGTGGGGTGATCTCAGGGTTAAGTTAGAGCTATGGGCAAAAAAAATAGGCAATTGAGGGAGGAGGACAGTGTGAGGAGCAGAACCCTCTTCGTCCACCCGCAGAGCCAAACACAAGTCGAGACATTTACAAGTGAAATCCGCAAGCTCCCCTCCCATTTACAAAGCAGACAGCTGGCCAGAATGCTGAGGATCGGGTAGAAATGCCTCTCTGCTGTGCGTGGGACGCTTGGGGGGCACTGAGTGGGTGAGGAGAGGGTCGGTCACAGTGTGGTTGTAGAACTACTTTGCTTCCACTCCAAGTGGTGGGGCAGAGATTGGCCTGCGAGAGCAGGCAGGCAAAACCAGATCGCTGTGATTTGGGGCCGCTCTTGGAAGCTCAGCTAAGCGTCCCCAGGTCCCGGAGGCAAGCAGTGTGGGGGAGGGGGAGCTCTCTTTTTCTTTTATCTCTCTCTTTTTTTTTTTTTTTTTTTCTTTTTCTTTTTGCCTTCAGAGACTCATGATACCCTGCTGTGACCTCTGTGTTCTGTGTAAGGCTGGGTATGGCCCGGCCCTTGCACCCTTCAGGATGGGGCGGAGGGGATGCGGGAGACAGTGTCTGAGCCAACACTCTGGGACATCATCACCTCATTTTTCCCCCTCGCTCTCCTTTCTCTATTTTAACCACTGGCAGAGAGAGACAGAGAGGACGCCAGAGAAAGACAGACCGAAAGGGAAAGAAAGGGGAGAGATGGCGAGCCAGACGGAGTTCGCAGAACCACTCTATTCTCTCTAGTGACTTCAGGGAATTCTCAACGACTCTGGCGCCAAGATCTCTTAACCATGTGCGTCAAAAATGCGAGGCTGGAGAAGCTTGTCGCCTCAAAAGGTCCTCCCCTATCTCAGCGTAGTGGGCCCACAAGGGCACTGCATTTTCACCCTTCCCTTGCTGCCACGTTGGGGTTTCAGAGTTGCTGGGGGTTGCGGGGGTGCGCAAGGCAAAATGTTGGAGGCCTGCATTGGCCTACAGAGACACAGGCAAACAAGCCCTGGGTCTCTTAAACCCCTAAGCGCCCAGCTCAGCCCTTTCTCCGTTGCCTTTCCAACGAAGAAGCTTTCATCTCAGGAAAGATAAAATAACTTTGTTTTCAAGATTTCCCTCCATTTAAGCAAGGATGGTCCAAGTCATTGGCCCCGAGAATCAAGAACTGTGGGCTTGGGCGAATCCTCTGACCCGGACCGGGCGCTGCCGTAGCAGTTAGTAATTCGGCGATCGGTAAGATCCGGTCGTTTCCTTCCCCTTAGCCCAAAGGAGGCCCCCACCCTACCCGTACTGAAAACAGTCATCTCACCTTTGAGGTGGGGGCGTTTCACGGTTTGTTTTACAAATTCGCCCTCCCTCCCCGACTTCTGGAGAGATAAGTCCCCCGGGTGGAGAAAGAACTGAGGCACCCAGAGATAAGTGCGATGCCTAGATAAGATACCAGGCTGGCGCGCCTCCCCCAACCCACTCGCCCACCCCTTACCCTCTGCTGTGCACCCAGCCGGACCTCGGGGTGAGGGCAGCGGCTTGGAGGGGACAGGCTCAGAGCCCAGGCCCTCGCTGTGCTCGCTTTGTGCAGATCCTCCATTCTCTTCTCTACACCCACACCCACATCCAGGTGGAATACCGCGGCCCGCATGCAAATGAAAGACTAGATCCAAAAGGGCTGGTAAATACATTTCATAAAAATCCCAAGTCCATCTCCCCCACGGAGCTCAGGCAGGGCTAGCCGCGCAGGATGTGTACGTGTTGGTGTGTAGGTGTTTTTCGGTGTGTGCCTCAGTCCCAGTGTGTTGGCGGGTGTTTGAGTACAGATGCACCGGGGGTGTTTGAGTCTCCGCACACGGCTGCGGGTGGGGCACGGTGGAGAGGAAGCCCACACGAGCGTGTGGGCTGAGATGTGCCCGCCTCCGTGTGCTCCTGTGTCCGCGAGCCCAGATGCAGGGGAGATCAGCACCGAGACACCCGAGCTCGGGAGCCCTTGTAACGGCGGCCGGGCGGAGCTTGGCTCCACGTGGGGCTGGAGAGCGCGTAAGCCTGGCGTCCTGGCTCTCGCCTCTCCGCTGCCGCCGGCTTTTGTTGCGCCGAGCGGCCTAATGGCAACCGGCGGGGAGGCTCGGCCGCCCGCCTGGCTCGCCCGGAGCCCGGGGAAGAGGGAGAGCTGGAGAGATAACCGGCCGCGGCGGTCGGAGAGGCGAGCGGAGTGCACGAGAGGCGAGCGCCCCTGCCCGGCGCCTTCCCCGCCCGGCTCGCTCTCTGGCTGGCTCCCTCCCTCGCTCCCTCCCCCTTCCTCCTCGGTCCTGCCTCCTCCCTCGATCCCCGGCTGGATGACTGAGGCATTTCAGACGTGGGCTGAACCAGAGCGAGCGAGCTCAGGGGCTGCTGCGATCTCTCGATAAGCCACCTAGAGGCGACTCTGCGCGCGCGCTCCCCAGTGGCTCCCGCCCTCCCTCTGATCATGTTGACATTCACAGGACAGGCAGTAGTACCGATGCGGCGGGGCGACGTTACAGTTTCCGACACCTTCTTTTTATAACTCAGCTCTATCCCCCAGCACTCGACCTGTGAAAACCACGCCTATGCAGCAACACAATTGGTCCGAAAGCGTCAAAGAGCCAATCAAGAGGCCTCCGACTCCCCGCAGCCCACAGCGCAGCCCGACCTTCTAGAGCCGCCGAGCAGACGCCCGGCGAATTCTAGAGGCGGAGGAGAGTGGCGAGGAGCTCTCGCTCTCTCTCGCTCCCTCCCTCGCTCCCTCCCTCCCTCTCCGACTCGGTCTCTCTCTCCCTCTCCCTCTCTCTCTCTCCCTCCGTTCCATTTTTTCCCCCTCTAAATCCTCCCTGCCCTGCGCGCCTGGACACAGATTTAGGAAGCGAATTCGCTCACGTTTTAGGACAAGGAAGAGAGAGAGGCACAGCAGAAGAACACAGCAAGATTTGGATTGAAACTGAGACACCCTCCGGAGGCTCGGAGCAGAGGAAGGAGGAGGAGGGCGAACGGAAGCCAGTTTGCAGTTCAAGTTTTGATAGCGCTGGTAGAAGGGGGTTTGAATCAGATTTTCTTTTTTTTTTTTTTTTTTTTTTTTTTTTGAGGAGAGACTTTTTCCGCTCCCTCGCTCCCTTCTAAAGCCGGGTCTAGCACTGCTGCAGACGCCACCAGCGAGAAAGAGGGAGAGGAAGAGAGCTAGGGGGCGGGGGAAGAAGAAAAAGAAAAGGTAAAAAGTCTAGTAGGAGAACCTTTCACATTTGCAACAAAGGACCTGGGGGCTGGAGAGAGATTCCTGGGACGCAGGGCTGGAGTGTCTATTTCGAGCTCAGCGGCTGGGCTCGGGCGCGAGTCGAGACCCTGCTCGCTCCTCTCGCTTCTGAAACCGACTTTCAGGAGCGGCTTTTTAAAAACGCGAGGCACAAGGACGGTCACCCGTGAGACTTATGTTTCCTGTTTTTTCGCCTTGCCCTCTTTAAAATCGGCGTCCCCTTCCCCAAAAGACACTTGCCCTACCCCCTTTGAAGTGCGTTAGTTGTGATTTCTGCCTCCTTTTATTTTTCCTTTCTTTTTTTTTCTTTTTCCCCCTTTTTGAACTATGTGCTGCTGTTAAACAAAAAAAAGAAAAACAAAAACAAAACAAAACACAGCAGCTGCGGACTTGTCCCCGGCTGGAGCCCAGCGCCTCGCCTGAAGTGGATGAGCCTCTCCATGAGAGATCCGGTCATTCCTGGGACAAGCATGGCCTACCATCCGTTCCTACCTCACCGGGCGCCGGACTTCGCCATGAGCGCGGTGCTGGGTCACCAGCCGCCGTTCTTCCCCGCGCTGACGCTGCCTCCCAACGGCGCGGCGGCGCTCTCGCTGCCGGGCGCCCTGGCCAAGCCGATCATGGATCAATTGGTGGGGGCGGCCGAGACCGGCATCCCGTTCTCCTCCCTGGGGCCCCAGGCGCATCTGAGGCCTTTGAAGACCATGGAACCCGAAGAGGAGGTGGAGGACGACCCCAAGGTGCACCTGGAGGCTAAAGAACTTTGGGATCAGTTTCACAAACGGGGCACCGAGATGGTCATTACCAAGTCGGGAAGGTAAGCAAGCCTTGGGGGCCTCCTTCCCCAAGTTGTTGGAGAGTTTTTTCCTCCCTTTACCTCTCTGCTCTCAGAACAGTCGGTAGGTTGATTATTACGGCTTGGACGAAAAGTTAGTTCCCAGCCTAGCAATGTGTGCCCGGACTTCCAGGCAATGTCCCAGTGGCAGGAAATTTCAACTTACCTGGGCATCTACTTGGGTCCTACATTTGGTCTGCATCCTGGGTTCCCTCTGGAACAGACGGAATTTTTCAGTGGAGCCCAGACATCCTGCAGGGAGCAAAAAAAAAAAAAAAAAAAAAAGACAAAGAAAAAACACTCTACTGAAAGAAATTCACTCTTTAAATCCTCCTGGAACATCCTTATTTCTTTGTTGATGTTGTGTTGTCTGTTTTATTTTGTACTCAGAGAGAAAAACTTAAAGCCCTTTCCTTTTATGTGGGTAGCGGGAGGCCTGACACCAGTCCCTGGCCCTTCCTGCCCTCCAGACTAGCCCCTGGGTCTAAAGGGGCCTGCTGCTGCCCTGGATGAGAGAGAAATCGAAGGGCATTTTGGTTTGTTTGCCCACACCACTTCACGTGTCTGTAACCCAAGGGCGAGTTCAGCAGGCGATTTTGCATAATTTAAGATTATGTTTGCAGACTTAAGGAGCCAGTGAGGAGACACACTTGATTTTTTAATGTGTGAAGATTATCAACCATATTTTATATCATGTTTAAAGGTCCTTGCCTGACCAAAACCTGCCTGGAAGAGAAGATCCTGCAACCATCATTTAACATCACTGATTTTTTTTTTTTTTTTTTTAAATAGCATTGAAGCCTGTAAAGGCATAAGGTTGGAAGGATAAAAATAAAATCCCCTTCAGGATCTCTTCAGCTTTCTGTCTCCTTCCAAGCTAAATGAGGCCAAAGTTTGGCATAAAATCCACCTCAAATCCACAAGACAGTTAGTTGGTTTTCCAGCGAGGTGCTTCCTTTTAAGTCAAGACTACAGAATGCCAACACTTCTGTGAAATTAACAGCAATGTGACGGCACATTCTTGCAGTTTTGGACTGGCCTGAGGAGTGGGGGAATGTGTTAGCAGCTCCATGGGCAGATAGATTATCAGGCCGGGGAGTGCACCGAAATCTGCTAAATTCGTTCTGCGAACTCACTGAAGTCCAGTTTCACTTCGCCCACAGCGGGATTGCTATTCTGCAGCGGGGAGGGGTGCAAATTCACGTTCATTTCCTTGATAAGTTTAACATTTTCTCATGAATGGGTGGAAGAAAATTCTAGTCTTGACTGATCGCGCTTTACTAAAATCTTACCCCAGCCTGTTTAGAACTAGATACCTATAGAAAAAGACATGGGCAAGAATTTGCTATCAGGAGGGCAATCTGTAAAGTCACACAAAGAAAAAAAATTGGAGAAATTATTAGACAATGTAGAGAAAGGCAGTGCTACAATGCATTTGTTTTGAACCTTGGAGCATCTCAATATGGAGAAATTGAGACTATTTAATACATGAGTTGTGAAAGAAAATGATTTTGCAGCCAGTGGCCTCACTCTGAAACATACAAGCTCATCAGTCACAGTGGAAAGTCTTAAAATTGTTTTCAATATTGTACTATGCATAGGAAATCAAACCCAAGATTACGAGTGGTTTATCTTCCTTTTTTTCTTTTCTATTCTTTCCTTTTATAGGCGAATGTTTCCTCCATTTAAAGTGAGATGTTCTGGGCTAGATAAAAAAGCCAAATATATTTTATTGATGGATATTATAGCTGCTGATGACTGTCGTTATAAATTTCACAATTCTCGGTGGATGGTGGCTGGTAAGGCCGACCCTGAAATGCCAAAGAGGATGTACATTCACCCGGATAGCCCAGCTACCGGGGAACAGTGGATGTCCAAAGTCGTCACTTTCCACAAACTGAAACTCACCAACAACATTTCTGACAAACATGGATTTGTAAGTTTCATTGCTCCCTTCAGTGAAATGTTCTCCTTCACTCGTTCAAGAGCAGTGCTTCCCCTCTTTGGTTTCAGCCCAGACTTCTCTTTTGCTTCTCCCTAAGCATAGCAATCTTGTCCTCGTTGGGAAAAAGGATTCAGGGTGTTTCTCTCCGGATAATGGAAGGCCTGGCGTTCTAAAAGAAATGGGGCAGGAAAACTTACGGGCTCCTGTTCTATAGCAGTTCCAGCTCTTCGGCAAACGCCTGACCTGAGAGTGAAGTTAAAAACCATTTTGTAAGAGCTAAAATCCATTTCAAGGCTATGTATTCATAAAGGATTTGTTTTGTTTTCAAATATCACACTTCTGTTTTGAAACCAGCCATATTATTTCTTGGGATAGTTTGAGTTTCGGAGCCTTGCCTCTGTTGGTTAAATGGTGTGAATACGTTTTTTAAAAACCTCATTTTCTTCTACTAAAAAAAAGAATTGGGCTTAGGTGGGAGTCAGGCTTACCTGAAGTGAGGCTTAGATCTTCAGTAAAAAATGGTTTTTGTGTCGGGAGTGTGTGCATGGGTTCAGTGAGAGAGTGCTTAGAAACTTAGAAAACTTGGATTGCTTCTTGAAGTCAGGCAAAGGACCTTTTGCCCCTTTTCCTACCCCTCCCCAACATTTCAATAAAATAAACAGTGATAAGCAAGGAGTAAGCAGAAAGATTAGGCCCAGGAAGAAGCGAATGGCGCGGAAATGTCTTCAGCGGACAGGAATTGCATTTGAAGCCCTTGATTTGATTAAGGCATAAATATTCCTCTCTAGAGTTCAGCCTTTCAGGGCTTTAAGTGGATTGGGCTCGTCAATTAGTGGGCGCTTAAAGTACTGAATCATTTTGTAAATTAAAATGCATGTTTTTCTCTATCTTTTAAGACTTTGGCCTTCCCAAGTGATCACGCTACGTGGCAGGGGAATTATAGTTTTGGTACTCAGGTAGGCTAGGGTTCAAGGTACGAATGATCCTTAGATGGTGAGGGTGGGGGGGGACCCTTTGGCAACCGAGGAGCAATTTGGATTCTCCAGAAGATAACATCTGTGGAGCGAAATGTACCCAGGAGGTACTCCAAGGAGGTGGGCTCGGTACAAGAGTGGTACCCTGCGGGTGGGGAAGATTTCAGCCTGGCAGGGGTCCTAAGATCCCGTTTGTCCTGCTAAATCCTTGTTTTATGTGTGTCTCCTCTTCCCTGCCCCTGCAGACTATACTGAACTCCATGCACAAATACCAGCCCCGGTTCCACATTGTAAGAGCTAATGACATCTTGAAACTCCCTTATAGTACATTTCGGACATACTTGTTCCCCGAAACTGAATTCATCGCTGTGACCGCATACCAGAATGATAAGGTAAACCCAGGGGGCTTTCTTTTTCGATGGTGAAATTTTGCCTTTGCTTTAAAAGCTACTTTGAGTCAGGATGAGAAAGTTACCAGCCAGTCGATATGAGCGTCTTGAGTTTTCTTTTGTGATTTGTCGAGCATTTGGGGGAAAGGACACTGGCATCTCAAAGAGACAGAAAAACACCTTGCCTAGGTGGGAGCAGTGCTGGGCAAAAAAATGCCAAACTAACTTTGCCACACAGAAGCTCCTTGTACCCGCTGACATTGATGCTACTCACTCCTCCACCCCTCTGGCTTTGTCCTGTCTGTTTTAAGGTTCATCTTCCTCCCCTTAAGAAAGAAGGATCAAGAAGTCACATTCTAAAGGAACCAGCTAAAAATTTAAGGCAAAAGCCATTTGGGATCCTGGGAGGAGAATCCTAGTAGAGACCAGCTTTTTTCCCTTAGCCAGAAATCCTGAGTAGCTGGTCTGGTTTTTATTACCTTTTATGCTGCTGTGTTTTTTATGATGTGTGTGTGTGTATGTGTGTGCATGTGTGTGCATGTGTGTGCATGCATGCGTGTGGTTAGAAAAACCTACCCTGATCACAGGGTCATACTAATCCAGTTGTCTGAGGCTTTTGAGTTGAGGTGGCCAGTCACCACTTCATTTGAATTTTCTTTCCCCTCTTGGGCCTGAAGCTGGAGATCAGAAGGATCCCCAAACGGGAAAGCACCTGATACCTAGAGTTGGTGGCCTGAGGGTCATGGGCACAGAAGAAGTGACCCTTGCTGCTGATTCACCAGTTTCCCGATTGGCTGTCAGCAGACAGTTCTGGCGGCGGGAGGAGGGACTGAAGACCCCTGCTCTGCAATCCTGGACTTCAAGGAGAGTCCATTTTACCTGACAACACACTTCATTTTGAACTCACTGTCATTGTCACTGCCCTTGGGTCTTCTGTGGACTAATGATGAGGACGTTCCAGCCAAATTTCTTTAGTCTGAGTACTAAAACATCATGATCTCCTTTTCCTGTGAAACCTGAAGTCTTAGGTAGAGCAATTTATTCCAAGAACATGAATCCAACCAAGGGGCCCCTAGGAGACTTTTCTACCTCTGAGGAACTCTGTGTATATAACTTCTTCCCCCTACCAAGGGGAGGGGATTTGAAAGATTACATACTATGGCATTTTTCTCAGAGTGCAAAATGCATGCTCCCTCTAGACCCAGAATCTTGTAAAATGAAGTTGTTAATGTAATAATAAAATGTAGCATTTTTGACCAGACAAAAAGGCCACCGGCCTTCTCCACCTAATGGCCGTGGCAGAGCACATAAATGAAAACAAATGTTTCCAGTGGTCATTCAGTACTGTAATTGTCAATATTGTAATTTCCTCAAACCACCCCCCAAGCGAAAAAAAATCAAACTCACTCCCACGCAAGGGTAGTAAAACCCCATAAATCATTTATTGGATTCATGGAAAAGGGGTGTGTGTGTGTGTGTGTGTGTGTGTGTGTGTGTGTGTATGCTATAATATTTTATGATTAATTGCACTGTATAAAAATCAAAATGAAAGCATAATTTTAAGATCTACAGGTTTTCCCTCTTGATGACTTTGGCAACACTTCCATGTCTAACCCAAGCTGTCGATTGCCCAAAGGAAAGAATTTCTTTGAATAATTTCATCCCCAAATCCCTGGTTTGGCCTCAGACAGGAGATACAAACCCTGCTATAGTTTGCTTTGATTTTTCTGTTAGTTCTCTCCAGACTTCTGCCATTATCTCCTTTCCCTGGCATATCTACATGACTTCTGTTGGCAGTCACATCTCTAGGAGACTTGTTGAGTTGGGAAAAACACCCTCAAAACATTCTAGAAAATGAGGCCAATGTCTCTGTCTTGCTTGTGTCTCTTCCAATAGATAACTCAGTTAAAAATAGACAACAACCCTTTTGCAAAAGGTTTCCGGGACACTGGAAATGGCCGAAGAGAAAAAAGGTGAGTTGAAACCATTATTTATTTCTCAGCTAGCTTAGAAAAATCACTTTTTTAGGATCCAGCTCTGAAGTGTTAGAAGTGAGAGCAGGCACTTTTCCTGAGAAGAGAAGAGCAGGTAGAAATCATTCGCTTTGCCCACTGCTACATGCTTGCTGATGCAGGTATACCCAGGACACGTACTTTTCCTACCTCCCTGTCTTTAAGGAAATTAACAAGGCTACACCATCCTTATCTCTGAAGAGAAGCATCAGGGATAATAGATTATACAGGGATGACTATTAATTCCTTATTAATTTAAGTCCATCCTAAGCAGGTTCCAGAAAGGATCATGCCATTGACAAAATGCTTGGGAATTTTTGCAATCCTGTCTTCCAAACACCATCAGACAGGGCTGGGGCCTTTGGAAAGATGTATGGCTCCCTCCCTCCTTCCTGGGGACATGTATCATTTTCCATTAAGCAGACAGCTGTAGAGTATTTGAAAGAGGGTCTCCCCTTCCCCACCCCTTTTCTAAGAAGTTCTAAAATCCAGAAAATCACCCCCAAATTTTTATGCTGTCCCCTTGGGGTGGGCATTAAAAAATAATTGCTAACAGCTAAATAGAATTTTATTCCAATTAATTGATTGGTAAAACGATTACACTAAAGTGCACCATGAAATAACCACTTCCTCCCAATCTTAGCAACCATCCAGGAGTTTGGGTGTGCTGGGGACAGACGGCATTGTGTTTGCAGGGTTGGACACCCAGTTCTGCCTCTATAAGGCCGGCAGTCCAGCTGTCTCTGACTAGATCCAGCTTCTCTTCCAGCCCAAGCAAATGCCTTTTCCTGATGAAACCCATCTTGAATAAATGCATCTGAAGCCTGCCTCCATTCTCCCTAACCCTGTGCCACACTCTTTAGCCCAGTTAGAGGGTCAAGAACGATGCTTGGGTCTATTATCTGCCCTGGGGCCAGCAGATTTCAGCCAATCATTGTCCCGGGGCAGCAGGCAGGGTGTGAGGTATGTGTGTGCCGCTCTGGAAAGGGTAAGGCAAACAAAGAGGGGAAATGTATGTTACATTCTGTAACCTGGGTGTGGGCTTCTGCCGCAGAAAACAGCTCACCCTGCAGTCCATGAGGGTGTTTGATGAAAGACACAAAAAGGAGAACGGGACCTCCGATGAGTCCTCCAGCGAACAAGCAGCTTTCAACTGCTTTGCTCAGGCTTCTTCTCCAGCCGTCTCCACTGTAGGGACATCGAACCTCAAAGGTAAGCCTGGTCACCTCTGTGGTCACTGGCCTCCAGGTCCTCGTGGCCTGGAAGAGTTGAAGGGGGATGGGGCACCAACCAGGGCACTTGCTCTTTAAAAGCTGGAACCCTTCTAAAAGTCCTTAAACAGGAGCCAGAGTTCAAAAAGGGCTCTCAGGTGTGTCTCCCCGCTTTCCCCCTAAGGCAGAAGAAGGAGAGCACGAAGGCCTTTTCCCCAGATCCTTATTTGGCAGGTGGGGAGGGGAGGTGGGTGTCTGTTTGCATAGTACCTCTTGGCGAGCAGCTTTGAAAACCTGCTTGGAGCACTTCTCTCTTTTCTCTCTGTCTCTGTTTCTTTCTCCTCCCATTCTCTCCAACCAAGAGAGGCTCCAACTGCTGACTTTTCATTGTCTTTGAACTCTGGGTTACAGTGGGTTGGACTTGGTGGGGGAAAGGCAAGGGGTTCTCTGCCACCTGGAACCGGGAAGGTGGCCTAGAAAACGTCCAGCTGTAGAGCAACAATTGAACTGGGAGAGGAGGTGGAGCACTGGGGATCTGTGGTGGGGGTAGAGCTGGGGAAGGAGGGAGTGGACAAGATGGCTCAAATCCCCCCCCTCGATTTCCTGTGTTTAAAGAGCAAGCACTATTTATTTGCAAAGACACACACACACATTCTCAACGGGAGGAAACCTGTTTTTTTGGTGAAACAAAATGCAAGTCCTTTATGTCTTCAATCCATTTAAGCTTTAAACATAAAATAGGATCCCTTTTTCTTTTCTTCTGGTGGAACACCCGCAGAGGGTGTGGTGAAAGCACAAAAGAATCTGATTGTCCCTGGGCGGTGAGTGGGCTGCCTGACACTCATTTCTGTCTGCAGGGTCTGGGGCAAACACAGAAGTTTCAACCGAGTGTTCCCGTTGAGGGACAGGTGTCTGCTTCAGCCATTATCAATTCAGATGTCAGGGTTCTCACCAAACAAATCCTTCGAGAGTAATTCACCTGTGCAAGGTGCTGCTCTCTGTCATTCACTGAACAAAAACTCTGATAGTAATTAGAATATGTTCCAGCTGTGAGTTTTCATGTTCGCTTTTACTTTTAAAAAGCTAATTTGCAATCGCATGGGGAAATGCCTGAGAGCCTGACGCCATTAAAAAAAAAAAAAAAAGTAAAATTCATTATAATAAGAAGAGATACCGATTGGGGGTTGACCATCTAAGAGGAAGTTAAACTCTGTTTAAATACTTTACATTCATTAATAGCGTCGAGCATTTTCCAGCAAAGTTGTTGGGCACGATTATCCCCATTTTGCAGATGAGAACACTGAGGTGCAGAGAGGCTAAGGGGCTTTCCCCGGGATGACACCGCCAGTAAGCCACGAGCTGGGGTTCCAACTTGGGAACTGGAGTTGGCCTTGGTTCAGACGGGAGCTAACGCCCTTCTGCCTTGGTTTTTTTCTTGTCCTATGGTAGATTTATGTCCCAGCGAGGGTGAGAGCGACGCCGAAGCAGAGAGCAAAGAGGAGCACGGCCCCGAGGCCTGCGACGCAGCCAAGATCTCCACCACCACGTCGGAGGAGCCCTGCCGTGACAAGAGCAGCCCCGCGGTCAAGGCGCACCTTTTCGCCGCCGAGCGGCCCCGGGACAGCAGGCGGCTGGACAAGGCGTCGCCCGACTCGCGCCACAGCCCCGCCACCATCTCATCCAGCACCCGCGGCCTGGGCGCGGAGGAGCGCAGGAGCCCGGGCCGCGAGGGCGCAGCGCCAGCCAAGGCGGAGGAGGCGCGCGCGCTCCCGGGCAAGGAGGCCTTCGCGCCGCTCACGGTGCAGACGGACGCGGCCGCCGCGCATTTGGCCCAGGGTCCCCTCCCCGGCCTCGGCTTCGCCCCGGGCCTGGCGGGCCAGCAGTTCTTCAACGGGCATCCGCTCTTCCTGCACCCCGGCCAGTTTGCCATGGGGGGCGCCTTCTCCAGCATGGCGGCCGCCGGCATGGGGCCCCTCCTGGCTACCGTGTCCGGGGCCTCCACCGGCGTCTCGGGCCTGGATTCCACGGCCATAGCCTCTGCCGCCGCAGCGCAGGGACTGTCCGGGGCGCCCGCGGCCACCCTGCCCTTCCACCTCCAGCAGCACGTCCTGGCTTCTCAGGTAAGGAGCCTTCTTCCTGCCTCCTCCAGTCTTTCCACCTTCCCTCCAGGTTCCCTGTCCTTCGGCCTGCTAGCTGTAATAATAATTTTTACACAGCCATTCCCAGGTTCAAGGCTTAGCTCACTGAGTTATCATGACTTCATTCTCCCCAGCCACCCCCCCACCCCACCAAATTTAAAAGTTTTCCTAAGTTAAAGGCTGTTTCCTGCAGAGTAGATAGGTATAAAGGCATCAGCTAGATTCAGCCCTTGCTTCCAGGCATTCTTCTAAGTGCTTGCTCTGTACTGACTCATTTGATCCAACCCTTCAGGGGTACGATTATCACCTCCTCTTTACAGATGAAGGGGAAGACGCCCAGAGATGTTGAGTCACTTGTCCAAGGTCACACAGCAGGTTCATGGTATGGAGCTGAGATTCAACCCCAGGCTGTCTGACTCCAGGGCCTCTTTGAGGGCTTTTGATTTTAGCTTCAGAGCTGAAATGTCTCTTAAGTGTTCTCATAGCCAACCCTGCCCCAGAAATAGGACTCTAGGCCTGGGGAGGGGAAGTGACTGTTTCCTGAGTGGTAGTTCAGTCTTGATTCCTCCAGCCTTTCCTCCCAGTTCGAAGCTCTTCTCCCTATCCCCAACCCCAAGCAGGCCATCCTATTCCTCAAAGAGTTAATAGTTTGTGCACACGTGGGAAATGTCAGAGGACAGGGACAAGCAGGGACTGGGGCAGGCCTGGAGGCCTGTGTGTGGCTCAGACAGCTGTGCTGGGGGGAAGTCTCCGCGGCTGGAAACACCCTGAACCTGATGAAAAGGTTCTATGAGGCTTTGCATGCTGTTGCCTTTTGTTTTGTCTGAGCACATTCGTCTCCCTTCCCTGCGCCAAGAAGCCAGATTGGCCTCCCCATCCAGGGAGGAGGGAGCTCAGGAAAGGCTTGGCTTCTGGCGTTTCTCAATTCCGTCCATCTCTGCTGGCTTCTCCTGGAGATCCTGTCCTAGGTGGGCAGGTGGTTGGTATGCCAGGGGCTGCCTGGACAGACAGAACCCTTCAGGGCACCTCAAGGCATGGTGCAGAGAACTGGCCCAGGCCAGGGTCCCTGCATTTTAAATGTTGCTTCTGCCAATTCCCAGCTTAGAGTATTCCTGAACTCCTGCGGCCTGCCTTGGCTTCTCACCTGGAACACCAGTGAATCCTGCTGGACGATTTCTTTGTCTCTGGTTATAACAAATGCCCTTTTATTTCCCTCCCCCAGTTTTCTTTTGCTTAAGAGCTTCTTTTTTTTTTTTTTTTTTTTTTTTTTTTTTTTTTTTTTTTAGAAACTTCTAGGATTGGAGTGGAAGGATAGGGGCTGGGGAACAAGAAGATTTCAAAAATTATTCCTAAAATTTATGTCCCCTGGCTTCCCCTTGGTCACCTTTGTGGCGTAAACTGAATCAGTATTCCCATTTAACAGGTGCAAGGAAAAACCCTTAGGGGGAGATTTCACTTTCACTCACTTAATATCTACAAAGTCCTCAATAAGTATGCGAATTACTTATGATGTCTCTGTTTTTTTTCTTCCTATAAGGGAGCTAAGGCACAGGAAGTTAAAGTCCCTTGGCCTAGGGTGACACAGCTACGATTTGAACCTAGAGATATCTGAGTGTTGGCTTCTCTCCTGCCCCCGCCCACCGTCCCCCCCCAACCTCCCAAAATCACCAGGGATTTGTGGCTTGCCCGTGTTGGAGGGGGAAAAGAGAGGAGATGGATGAAGTAGGCTCCTCCCACCCGCTGACTTGCTGTGTCTCTTTTCTCACCCCAGGGCCTGGCCATGTCCCCTTTCGGAAGCCTGTTCCCTTACCCTTACACGTACATGGCTGCGGCGGCGGCCGCCTCCTCTGCGGCAGCCACCAGCTCTGTGCACCGCCACCCCTTCCTCAATCTGAACACCATGCGCCCGCGGCTGCGCTACAGCCCCTACTCTATCCCGGTGCCGGTCCCCGACGGCAGCAGCCTGCTCACCACCGCCCTCCCCTCCATGGCAGCGGCCGCGGGGCCCCTGGACGGCAAAGTCGCCGCTCTGGCCGCCAGCCCAGCCTCGGTGGCTGTGGACTCGGGCTCTGAACTCAACAGCCGCTCCTCCACGCTCTCCTCCAGCTCCGTGTCCTTGTCGCCCAAACTCTGCGCGGAGAAGGAGGCGGCCACCAGCGAACTGCAGAGCATCCAGCGGTTGGTCAGTGGCTTGGAAGCCAAGCCGGACAGGTCCCGCAGCGCATCCCCGTAGACCCCCTCCCAGACACGTCTCTTCATTCCAGTCCAGTCCACGCTGCCGTGCACTTTGTTGGATGTAAAATAAACCACAGGCCCGCCATGGCGTCAGCCCTTCCTTTTGCAGTTGCCCCTAGGAAGGGGCCCCCGGACTCCCTCGAGAGAATGTGCTAGAGACAGCCCCTGTCTTCTTGGCGTGGTTTATGCATCTGGGATCTGGATCAGATTCTGGGGGCTAAGAAACGTCGGTTGCATTGAGCTCTTGGGGGTGGGAGTTCCAACATTTATGTCCAGAGCAACTTCCAGCAAGGCTGGTCTGGGTCCCTGCCCACCAGGCAGGGAGACTTATACATTTTTTCCTTCACTGTGTCAAGTGGAAACAAAAACAAATAAAATCTTTCAAAAAAAAAAATCGGGACAAGTGAATACTTAACATGATTCTGTTTGTGCAGATTAAAAACTTTATAGGGACTCGTATTATCGGTTCTCAATAAATTACTGAGCAGCTTTGTTTGGAGAGGGAAGTCCCTACCATTTGTTTAGTCTGTATTAAGGAAATCTGTGTCCTTTTAATATTCTTGTGATGTTTTCAGAGCCGCTATAGGTCTCTTCTTGCATGTTTCACAGTAATGTATTTGTGGTTTTTATTTTGAACGCTTGCTTTTAGAGAGAAGACAACTACCCCCATACCTTTCCCCAGTCATTTGCCCTCAAATCAGTGACCCAAGGGTGGGGGGCGGTATCAAGGAAAGGAGTGGGCAAAACACATAAAATGAATTTATTTTATCTAAGCTCTGTAGCAGGATTCATGTCGTTCTTTGACAGTTCTTTCTCTTTCCTGTATATGCAATAACAAGGTTTTAAAAAAAAAATAAAGAAGTGAGACTATTAGACAAAGTATTTATGTAATTATTTGATAACTCTTGTAAATAGGTGGAATATGAATGCTTGGAAAATTAAACTTTAATTTATTGACATTGTACATAGCTCTGTGTAAATAGAATGGCAACAGGTTTTGTGTTCTCGTTTTCCTTTAGTTGGTTTTATTTCCAGGTCACAGAATTGCTGTTAACACTAGAAAACACACTTCCTACACCAACACCAGTGCCCTTTCAAAAGAGTTGTCTGCCACATTTTTATTTTCCTTTTAATGTCCAAAAATGGGGGGAAGTACTACTTCCTATTTCAGCCAAAAATTGGGAAAGGCTTGCCAGTTTCCAGCTCCACTTCAAACTCCTTAAAATACAGCTGAGATTGCTGTGGGGAGGGAGGAGGGCAGAGGCTGCGGTTTGACTTTCTAATTCTTCTCTCGTTATTTGTATTTGCTAGTCTCTGATTTCCTAAGAACGAAGTGGAATTTACAACTGTTGTCAATATCGATGGTGTTTTGAATTGGTGCCTATAGAGATTCACAGTTCAAAAGTCAGCTGCTGAGAGATGGTTTAAAAACAAATTCATGAAGGTATATTTTGTGTTATAGTTGTTGATGAGTTCTTTGGTTTTCTGTATTTTATTTCCCCTCTCTTTAAAACATCACTGAAATTTCAATAAATTTTTATTGAAATATCTTTGGGCCTTGTGTTAAATGCTTTCCTTTGGGAAACTTTCCTGAGGGCAGACAGTCGGGGGAGGCTTCAGTCTCTTCTGGTTCTCCGTCTACCCCCTTCCCTTCGCCTTTAAATAATTAAGACCGCCCCCAGCGAACCAAAATGAGATGTCACTCAAATTACAAAGCTAAAAACAAAAAGTCCTTTACTTGAACGAAGGGAGCCACTTCAATCTGAAATTACTTTTCCTTTAAATTAGGGAGCAAAGCGGGGAGACGGAAAGGGGCCTGATGAGAATTCAGAAAGAAGAGTAATTTCAGATACTTTAAAGTTTTAATGGGAAAAGACTGACGTGCTCCCTAAGTCAGGTTTTCCCACACGAATCTGACCACAAATAACCTCGAGCACTACGAATGTTTTTTGTTTTAAGCTCGCCCTCCCTTTTGACATCAATCTGGCAAATCCAAGTCAAAAATCCCTCCTTGCACCCGCGTGTTTGGCTCGGGGGAGAAGGCCAGCAGAATCCCCCAGCAGTCCGAGCGGTCTTGGCTAGGCAGCAGCCCTCCAGGTTGTAGAAGTGGACAAGACGCAACGCCTTTCCACTCCGCATCCCCCCACATCCGGCGGTCCCCGGTGCCTCAGATTGAACCCCGCTCGCCCAAGGCGCCCCTACGAGGCCCCATCCTTCCCGGGTTGTGCGTGCGAAGCGCCGCCAGCTCCGCGAAAACTTAGCTGTGTCACGCGAGGGAGGAGGGAAGTTATCCCTGGGAGAGGAAAGGTAATTCCAGGGTGCACGTTTCACTCCCTCAAGGGAAATGTCACCCGGGAGGCTGACATCCTCCCCTAGTCTCCCCTTCAAACCAGTCTCCAGGCTGTTCGGGGAGTTGCCTTTTGAAGTTCAATTTATCTTTGAAACATTCAATAAAAAATGATGAGGCACTGTCAGTGTTTGGTCTCCCGACCCCCAGCCTCGCCTCTGAGGTGTGTGTCTGTTGGGGGGCGGAGGCGGCACGGGAGGGTTCCAGGGTTAGCTGCTAGCCCTTTTCTTGCCCTGGGGGCCCTGACGTGAAGACCCAGCTGGAGCCTGCCTGGCGGCTGCCTCCCTCCCCACCCTCCACCCCCTGGAGCCCGCCAGCCCGGCCCCACGTCCCTGTCACCTTCAGGCCTCTTGAATGACCAGCCAAGAGGACGCCCCCTCCCTTCCCTCATCCTGTACTTGGAAAGGATCGAGGTTGAGACCTTTTGGAGAGCGGGGCAAAGCCCCTTCCATCTCTGGCCAGGCATGTGGGGACCCCTGTAGCCTCCTCTGCGTGGTCTCCGGGGGTGGGAGGGAAGATAACCAGAGTTTGTGTTGGTGCGGGTTAGGGGTGGGTGGTGCTGCGGGAGTGTCAGGGCCTGAGCTGAGACAGGGCTTGGGGACCTTTAGAGGTGGGGGCTCCTCCGAGGACCGGGAGATTTCTGGAGCGCGCGCCTTCCGTGCAGCGGCTGCAGCCTAAAGGGGTCAGCTCTGGACACAGCGACAACGCGCGGTGCCTGCGGCTCTGGGAAGGTGGTAGTTGACTGATTGCGCCCAACTGCGCTCTCCCGAATTGGGGAAAAAAGAACTCAGCCTCAAAGAAGGAAGAAATGCTTTTTTTTCTCTCTTTCTTCTGTCTCAGTCCAAATTTGCTAACCTCCTCCCCTCTCCTCGACGCCCCCCCCCCAATATGGGGACACTGCTCAGATGTGTGTCCAGCCTCTCCTACTGGCGTTCCTTTTTTTTTTTTTTTTTTTTTTTAAATCTCCCGTATATCTCATTTGTATATTGTGATGTTAATGAGTAACTCCTGTGGCGCTGATGGACTGGGGGTGCGGGGGATGAACGGCTCGCAGTCTCTCTGGATTTTGCTGCCTATTACTCACCTGGCGCCGGTCGCAATCTCGCCGCAGGCTTTATGGTGGCTGCGGCCGCCCCAGAGGCCACTCGGGGCCGGCGCCTTCTCCTTTTTCTGGGCTTCGAGTGCCACCTATCTGTCTGGTCTACGAATGCGTCCAGGTCGCCGCAGCTGGCTCAGCACCCCAGCGCCTCCCGGGCTCCGGAACTTGGGCGCTTCGCCTTTGCCTCTTCTCATCCCCACCACCCCCAACCCCATTCCCCTCCTCCTCCGTCCCCAGCCCCATTCTCAGCCTAGGAAGAAGCCGCCTTCCCCTCTTTCCTGGATATCACTTTCACTCCTGTTTGTGCCTTAGATGAGAAAAACATCCCTGCCTTCCTCTGGGTTTCCAAAGAATGTTAAAAAATTCAGTGCGGGAACCCTGGCTCATAATTCTCTGGACAAGTTCCTTTCTGTTTCTTGTAGAAATCTTCTCCAGACCGTAGTTCTGGACCCCGCCCTGCAGGGGATAACCTGAATTCGCCATGGGTGGATAGAGAAAGGATACCTCCTTTCTCAACATACACACCTCAAATTCTCCCCTGGGGACAACTTCCCTGTACAGGGACGCTCTCTTTCTTACTCTACAACTTTGGAAGTTTTCGTTTTTTAACCTAGCCGCGTCTACAAGGACAAAGGCCACGACTCTCAGGAGCAGTAGTCCCTACGGGGATCAGCTACCGTAGCCTGCAGGGCCCAGCGCCTTCGTGATTTGTAGATTTAAGGTGACAAACGCGGATGCCGACCAGAGGCCTCCAGCCGCCGCCTCTAGGGAAGGTCGGCTCCAGTCCTGGCTGCGCCCTGGCGTCTGAGACCGGAGGAGGGGAGGGGATGGGGTCGCCTTTTGCTGTGCTTTGAGCCGCAGTTGAAGGCGTCCGGGTTCTTGCTGACCTCCCGGCGCTAATTGCAGGGGCCGAAGGGCGCGCTCGGGCAGAGGCAGGGGCCACGACCTTGCGGCTCCCTCCTCCCGAGGTCCCGGCAACCCGAAGGAGCCGGGTGTGTGCAAGAGGGTGTGTGTGCGTGTGTGTGTGCCCGCACGCGCTGCTAGGGCCTCTCTTTAGATCTGCGCTGTTCTGGGACCCACCCTTTCTTTGTGGGGACAGTTCCCGACTTGTAGGCCCTAAAAAAAAATTTCCATCCAAGAAGGAAAACCCAGATTCTGACCTTTCCCCTAAGCCAGCAGACAGGCAGCCGCCTTCAGGCTGCGACGAGAGGCTTGCAGCGCTTCACGACAGCGCGCTTTCTGCCTCGCTGGTTTCCAATGTGACCTCACGGCAACCAGCCAAGAGAGTGGCTGTCGGGGTGCAGCTGCGAGGCTGTCGGCGGCGACCTGGGCTCCTCTGTAGGTAGCCCGGTTCAGGTTCCTCTCTGTGGGTAGCTCTTGGGTGTCTGGGTTCTGGGGCCAGGAACTGCAGGTGTTAGAAGGCTATGTGTGTGTTTGCGTGTAGTTGTGCGTGCTCCGTCTGTAGCTGTCTCTTCCAATTTGGGTTTAGAAGTTCATGCGCAAGACAGTTCCGGATGTAGATGCATTTGGTTGTTTTATAATCAAGATGCGTATAATCAAGAAGTATGTGTTGCAGATGTCGGCGTTCAAAGTACACGAAACAAGAATCATATAAATACTTGGCATACAAGGGGCACGTGCATAAGCCAGGCACTCGGTGAAGCATCCCATAAAAGTGACCTCCGTGAGCCTTCGCAATTAACCCTATAAAGTATATATGATCTTTATCTCTGTTTTACAAGTGAGGAAACTGAGGCACAGACGGTTAAATCACTTACTCCAGATTAACTGGGGAAATTATGGAGCCAGGATTCAAACCGAAGGGGGCTCCAGGATCCACTGTGATTCCCCTCCGTAATTCAGGTGGAGGTGTAAGTACCTGCGGTGCCCATGTCCCGGATTTACAGAAATCTGAGGGATGTTCTGGATTTTGGAGTGTGTCACAGGCTTTTTTTTTTTTTTTTTTTTTTTTTTAAATACGAGAACGTTTAAATTTCTTCTTTGTGCGTCTGCCGTGCAATGTGAAAGGACAGCTTTTATTTCAGAGTCCTCCTCCCTGGCCAACTCTCTTCTGTGTCCCGAGACCGCCATCCCGGCTAAGACCTCGGGGAAGTTGGGGGCCTTTGTTCCCAGGTAGAGGAAGAGAGGCTGAAAGAGGGATGCAATACTCTATTTTAAAATGCCTGCGGCAGGGCACTGAAGCTGAGAGCGTTCAGGTCCCGATCTGAACCGCGAGGGAAACCGCGGGGGAGAGGAAATGACAATAGCGCTGGCGTGCGCCGGGGCCGCAGGGCGACCACCAAGCTGTCGCCGGGGTTTCCCTCTCCCGCGGGATCTGGAAGCAAGGTTTGGGCTTTGGGTGTCTCGGGCTTTCTCTGCTGGCCTCAGTTCCTCCCTCGCGTCCCTAGCATTTGCTGTGTTCTGTCTACCCAGGCGCGAAGGCCGAGAGCAGTCCGGGGGCTGCAGGTGGAGACGCCGAGGGCACAGAGACCTTCGCTCTTTCTGGGTTCAATCCTGCCCAGCTTCCAGTCACCTACGAAATTTTAGTTGGTGTTGTGTTCTTCTGCCCTCTCGCTTCCAACTTTTTGCCCCAGCTAGAAGCCCAGGGGTTCAGCTGGTGAAAAGAAGGATTCTACCGAGAAGCCGGAGAGGGGGTGCGAGGGCGCAGCCCTGCGAAGCGCTGCCTGGTTTACCAGGCGGTGCTGCCCAGGTTCCCGCAGCCTGAACAACTGCAGGCCCCACGCCCCTAGAGAGCCAAGGCCTGAGTCTGGCTGCAGACCGGGTAGGGGTGGAAATAAGTGGCTGGAGTAGGGAATAGCCGCTGCCCCCAAAACTCAAGGCGCTTCTGTCCAGCGACTGGGATGAAATCTGACGGCTTTTGGGTCCCCGGTCTCCCCAAAGCAGTGAACGAAACTCAGACGCAGTCCCGCGAATGGGGGGCAAAAGAGAAGAGGGTTTCGCGCGGGGGAGGGGACCCAACCAGTCGGAATCTGGACTGGTAGTGTCCGGGCGGTGCGGCTCTTCCCCTCACCACCCCCCATCCCACTATCCCCCCCATTCCAGCGCTCCCAGTCAGCCTGTCTCTTTGAGCTTTTGAAATGC